GGCCGGCCCGGCCCTTGACCCGGGCGTTTGGGACGCTGTGCCCCGCGAGGTGATGTGGCCTCGCCTAACTCGGCCCTGCGGGAAGCCGCCAGCGTGCAGAGCCTGGTGCCCGGAGCGTGGACAAGCTACCCCAAAAAACAGGGGCCCGACCCCGCAGCAGGGGAGAGCCCCGGGCACTTCAACCTCCGGGGAGGGTCAGGCCCCCGTGAACCTCCTGGGGTGCCACCAGCAAACTCCCCAAAAAAGCGTGGGGTGCCAGACCACTTACCCCACACTCGGGGCTTTTCCTTGCGCCTGCGAAACAACCAGTTGATTAAATAATTCGGTATGACGGTACCTTGGAGAATATTTCAATACCCCTTCCCGCAGCAGGCAGGCTGGGGGGGGCGAGGAAAGGTCAAGCGATTGCCTGGGGGGTCACGGTGGCAGAGGGGCCGGGGTGACGAGTGGATGCTGCTCTCCCCACCGCCTCGCTGCGCTTGAGGCCGTCCTGCTCTCGCAGCAGGAATGGCTCAAAACATCACAAATTACTTCGACTATTGCTTACAGCACGGCAATACTTTGTAAGATTTTTAAGAGCTGTTCAGCTCTGAAAAATGATGTGGTGGAAATGCCTTTGGCAGATTTATTATTTCTCCACACTTCCAGTACCAAAATTTGCCCTCTTTGGTCATTAAGGGATTTTTGTTTATTTTCTAATCGACAGTGCCATAAACGCTAACTGGGCTGGAAGAACTGATCAGATTTATTCTGAAACGTACAATCACTGATTATAGCATTTCTGCAGTCGGAAGCAAGCTGGAATCTAGGAAACAGCACATCTTCCCACAGCTTTGCACAAACAACATAAAGGTACGTAAAATGCATTTACAGCAGTAAAGACGGGGAGTACAACTCTGCCTTTACGATGGTAGCAAACCTATTTGGTATAATAAAGGGCTTTTTTACCACATTGTTTGAATGATTGTACACATCTAGTGAAATTCACTTTCTTCTTTCATTTTGATCAACTGGGTCTGTCTAATTATATCTGTCACACGGGTTTCTGAGCGTCAAATGGATCACTGGATTTTGGATACATCAGTGTGTTAGAGGAGCCAACCACCATGAGATAGAGGAGGAAAGGCTTCACTCTGCTTCATGGCGGAGGGCAGAAAAGCAAAACCTCCCTTCCCACCAAGGAACAGACCAGTTCCTCCTGGCAGAGGTGCTATACCAGCGTGGTATTTTCTTTGGCTTTCCTTTAGGTTTACTGGAACATATTTCAGCACAGTTTTAAAAACGTACCATTCAGGCAACTTAGTGGAATAAGCTGATCCTGTGGTACAGGCCCCATCACCTAGTTTAGGGTCAGATCTTCACCTGCTGTCGTCAGTGGAAAGGTTTCTGTTGGTATCATGCAGGCTGTGAGAACTCTCTAAGATGCAAAGGTAATGGAAAGGAAAAGTCTAAGTTTGTGATCACATTGTGACCTACTGTGCATTACGTACAGGATATTTAGTGTAGATTAAAATGTAGGTAGCTATTAAATATATGTTTAAAATTAAATTAATCATCAGCGTGCAAAGCTTGCAGGCAACTCAGAGGACATGCATCGAACTTAACAAAACCAAGAAAATTAATTTATGAACTAATTTTGAGTCTTCAGACTGCAGTTACACCTAGCATTAAAGAGCATGTGTAAATACAGGCGCTCACTGGCTGTAAGACACTCCTGTCCAGGCAGGGGGATCTCTGGTAATAGATCTGATTGCAGAAGTGTTTTCTTGCCTTCCTGCCAAACCCTGTCCTGATTGATAAGCTCCCAGGCTGTGTGGTGAGCAAGGTCATTAGGACTTCCCCCTGCAAATGAAGCAGCAGTTTAAAAAATAAGGTCATAGAGTAAACAGTTTTCTGTCCTGAAGAAAAGAAAATAAACCTCCGTTGTTTGCTAAAAAGGAAGTACAATTAAAAAACCCCAAAATTTCAACACGAACAGATTGTTTAGATTTGCCGACTCTTGATTTACCATGATGAAAGACAGGCCCAAACTAGAAAGTTTGAATCTTGATCTGAATCTGCCATTCCCCAAATTTGAGGGGGAAGTGCAATTCAGAGTCTGGAGTAAGGGCTTATCTCTCAAACACAGCAAAGTACTGTGGATAAAAATACCCAGGTAAAGTAGGAAGTGCCTGGTCTGCAACAAGAGTGACTTTGTATCAACAATGAACAAAAGCAGCTTTTTTTTTTTTCTTTGAGAACAGTGAAATCACTCAGGAATTGTTATAAATGCAAACAAAGTGCGTTTTATCACTCAGTTATCATCAGTGGGATTATAGTCTATAAACCCTAATTTTCAGGGAAGTCCCTAGATTTCCCTGAGCACTTCCTCAAATTTCACCTATGTAGACTCTAGTTTATTAAGTGCTTCAGGATTATCTGAAAATTGTGAACATAGGAGTTAGTGGCAAAGAATGTTTGATTGCCAGATGGTGTATCAATGCCACACCAGAAGAGCAGGCACTCCCGTTCTCATACATTTTTAACACAAATACAGGTAACATATAATTCAATGTGACTTTTAAACGTTATTTTAAAACATTGAAATTATGCAGCTTTGGATAAAAATGTTTTTTATCCAGTCAGGCATAAGAAGAAAGACTAGCATGGTAAGATAAAGTGGAATTATTGAGTTAGCCCCCAGTAGAACAAGTTCTGTTCCTTGACTGCAAATAATGACAGCACTTTAATGTGCCAATGGTGAATTTGTTCCTCTGTTTTTAAAAAGTGGGCTGTACTCAAAGGAAGAGACTATATGACATGCTATTAGAATTACAGAGCTAGTATCTCAGTCTAGGCATTATCAGCTTTTAAACAAACAACTCAGGTTTGGTCTCAGACAAAAATATCTCAATAAAAATACAAATTAAAAGTGCATTTCACAGTGCCAAATATAATAAACATAGTTGTGCCTCTAAAACCGGACAAATCCAATGTTTGAAGTTATATTTCTCAATAGCAAAACAACAGCAGGCTATCTGGAAAACAATATAGTAATTCTGAAATATTGTAGTTTTGATTTTTAGAAATTAATCTTGTGAATAAATACATGTATGATTTAGTTTGTACTTTGATGAATTTCCAACAAGACTTAGTGTCAGCTAAACTGGTAGCATGAAGAGCAGCGAACTGGATGATGCCTGTTTGCTGAAGCATCTTTGGGAGCTCTTCCCAATGGCTCACTAAAAGCCCTGGGAGACCTAGGTTTGGTTTGAGCTTCTGTTCCTGGTTACCAGGGTGCTAAAGCTGGACAGCCCTGGGATGGCAGTGTGCTTTCTCCAGCCGCAGCAGGAGGAAGGAGGCACGTTTCACAAAGAGCTTTTCTGGCTGGATCACGGAAGCTGTTGACAAACTCTGATGTGAGAGCGGTACAGTCCTCTTCACCAGGAATAGCGATAGCCGTGACAAGGGCAGCAAACATGCTCTGGGTATATGGTATATAAACAGGAACCAAATTGGTTTGTGTATAGAATGCACTAGTTAGATATAGAGTGTACAAAAATAGCAAATATATCAGTTCTGTCCCATAGACCACCACAGCTGCTTTTGTTGTTACAGTAATAACCACAAGTCCCAGCCTGGACCAGGCACCATTAGGTGCTGTAGAGACACATCAGAAGACATGGTTTTTGATCTGAAGGGATTGAAATCTGCTACAAACCACTGGTTTTCCTCTTTGCTTATAAAGTAACATGTCATAAGTTCTTAATTCTGGGAAGATACCTGAAAATGCTGAAATTCCTATGATCTGTGTGAGGAAACATGATCTTAACTATAGTCAGAAAGGCAGGTCTTCTGAGGCTGAAATACTGAAGATATAGACATGCATTAAAAGAAAAGTAAAAACTTTCAGGTTCCGGTTGCATTCCCAACTCTCACACCCCCAAAGCTGACTATGCTCTTCACCTAAAATTACGGAGTTAAGCCCAATGTGGGCATATTAACTTGGGTGCAGTTTCAGTGGTTGATTATCCCTGCACATCCTCACATGGACATGTGCAGGGAGCATCAGCCACACTGCTGGATGTGGGCACCGGTGCAGCAATGGTTCTTGGAGCACTGGTTCCATCTGTGTGGAGCTCCAGGTGAAGCCAGCGCAGAGCAGGTCAGGCTTCCTCGTGACATTTGCAGTTTCCTAGAGAACAAGAGTTGTAATCAAGCTGTTAAGGTTTTAGGTATTATGCTGACAGGGGCTTCCTAGATCCTTTAGAATCTATATATGTATGACATTTATCCAGTGGACTAGCAGGGGTTTTTTCCTATTTATCTATTAATGCTAGAAGAGAAGGGATTGCTTTTCATCTCTTTGGTGCATTTTTAATGGCATCTGCATGCACGTGAAAATCTGCTACCCTTTGATTCACCTCCTCAAAATTGTATCATTTGGGAACTTGTAAGAGCAGAAGTGGCCGTTTCAGCATCATTCTGATCTGACCCTCTGGCTACTGCAGCCATAAATTTGCATTTAGTAATATCTGTATTCACACCTCGTATGTAAAAGAGGTGACACTACCATGAATAAAAGCAGGAAAAGATAGAAAGGATAAATTTGTATCTTTGGTGCTCTCTTTACCTCAGAGCCCTGCTGCTTGTTTCTGCAGTCATGCTGACCAGACACCAACCAAGAACACAATGGCTTATGGAGCAGTGAGAGAGAGGAGTTTCTGCTTTATTTATAATACAAGAAGCACTCCTGTGAACGGAGAGCCCCAGTAATAATTTATATATTATATAAATATTTTTTATATATTTTAAAATATATAAAGGGTTTTTTGCTGCTTGAGCATTTCTCTCCTGTAGTTCTTTGATG